ACACGATCAAAATTCTATTGAAAAAATAGAAACACAAGTTTTGAGAGAAAATTGCAAGAGAAAAGCTGAAGAATCAATTTTCACACAGCCACTTAAAATTATTCGCAMCGAACTTATTTAAATAAATATTTTTGTACCTATAATACAGTTCAAAATTGAAAATGGCAACGTTGCAGAGTTTTTTTATGCTCAATCGTGTTGCGAAAAAGGTGTTTTATGCTCAATCGTGCCGCAGCCGACCACTTTTTTAACAAAACAATTGTATACTACCTATGCTTATATTAAAAGCTATAACACAGTATTTCATATAATCAAATACGATAAAATGTACGATGGTGTATTGTATATATTTTAATATTTATATATACATATGTATATAGCTACTTTTTATATCAATCTGAAAACTCACGTAAAGTATAGATAGGTATTCTACAATTAAAAAAAAAATTGTACATACCTTTTATGAGTGCAATATACATAGCTAAAGTACACAATAAAATGTATCATTTTTGTCAACCCAGCATTAGTAGGTATGTTAAATAAACTTATTATTGTACTGAAAGTTTTAATATAAGCGTAGTATAGAAATGGTTTTGGTAAAAATGTGGTTAAATTAGGTAAGTAGATCTCATTTGGTGGAAATGGATATCGGTGGAAAAGGGAAAGGTCCCAGTTTTGGTTAAAGGTAGACATTTGAGTATTGACATARGTACAAACAAAGGTMACAAGGTAAGGCCGTTCATGTGGAAGGGAACAACTGGAAAATTTTGGGTCTGGCCTCATCACAGAATAAGACCTCATTTTTGAAATATTTTAATTAAAGTCTTACCTATAATACCTAATTAATAATAACGGACTGTCRCCGTTAATGAGCTATTTCCCGACAAGAGACTAAATTAATGTTCTGAACAAAACTTTATTATGTTAAATAACAATAATTATCTTCGTTGAATCAGCCACATATTTTACTATATATATACCTATATACCTAATTTTCCAATAACTTATATCGATTGCGATAACCAGACTCAATTTGCTAAGGTAGGCGATAGGTGACGGCGCAGACGATATTTTTAGTGCGAAAACCATAAACAATTTATTTGCCTATAATTATCTATAATAGGGACAGATTGTGTTTTTTAGTACATTCGGTAGGTATTTAAGTAGATGGTGGATCGTAGATACTTGATACATTATTGAGAACTAAGCAGATATCAAAAATGTAATGCAGTGTATGAATTTAAATGATCTTGGTTGGTTAAGGTTTGAATTACTATAACAGTACACTTGCAAACATTTTGTTAATCTTAGTGACTATTTATGTTTAACATACCGCATTATGAATTATGATGGTCAAAGGGCCACTACATTATTTGCCCTCGCAAACCACGAAAAATCTTGGGACGGCTCTGTTTAAAGTTGAATACGTCTTAAAGATATTWAGTTATAAAATTTCTTTTGACTATATCTAGGTACCTATTAAGTCGATAGGTATTTTCATCGTTATTAGCTTTAAGCTTTTCGAGTTGAATATATTATTATTTGTTAAATATTAACTATTAACGATGATTTAACTTAACTAACTCAGCGTTTTCATTAACTTACTTACCTTTGTTGGCACGTATAAAAATCAAATTTCAAACTTAGGTTAGGTACCTACCTAAAAACTATACAAGTAGACTAAATTTAATTAGTTGTAAGTCTTATGATCTTAACATTTATATGAGCAGAGACGCAGAGTCTCTTATCAAGTTATAGTAACTTGCACTAATTACCTATGTGTAAAGTACAATTTAATAAAATACACTGTGCTTGTCAGTAGWGGGKAAAAGGTAATTTATTATGTTTAGCAAGGATTTTTGGAATTGTCTAAACCAAACATTTGGGTATCTTACAAATTAAATTTTTAATAATATCTTTGCAGTTCAAACCATCAACTTATTTTATTTATTAGATAACTATGTAAGGCATTGGAATATTAACCTTACAAAGTAAAGCAATTTACTGAAAATGTTTTATTTTCAGTTTTTATAGTTGACATTATTAGTATACCTCAAAGCTAACTCACTTGCATAAATATTGCAATGTTAGTAGGTAGGTAATCTAAAAAATACTTATAAGCAATTTTGATTTACAATGTGGATTTTTATATAAGTAGTTTACCAGAACAGTGCAATATAACAAGTTTGAGAACATTTATACTATCATTTTTTAATAATTATATATCTTTGACATTTTGACCAATAGGCTTGTTATGACAACATAATATTTTGGACCCTCTTATAACATAAAAATATTATACAGTCGTGGATTTTCATTTGACATTCTAAATTCACAATAAAAATTGAGTCAATATTTAGACAGTACTTTACAAATACTTTAAACAGTTTCATAATGCTATAAAAGGCTTTGTAGGTTATGTTGTATTCAAATAAATACAAATAAAATTCAAATTTACATGTTTAAAATGTTGATGAAACAAATTAATTTATTAGGCAGGTACAATACTTTGATTTTTCATGATAATTTAATATTCATAAAACAATGTTACAATAACAAATGATAACTTATTCATAACAATAAAAGTACCAACAGGCAACAGGCRACAACAACAATAATATTGATAAAATACAAACAAGTTACTTATTTATTGATTTGAAAAATAAATACACAAAATATTATGATACATGTGACATTATATAAATATATAAATATTTTTTTTGTATTTCAGTCTGTGCGCAGGATACATATCCGGAGTCTTACAAGGAAAATCACAAKATGAATGTGTCGCTATAGGTTTGAGAGCAGCTACATCAGCACTTTTGTCTCATAGGCCAGTTCCATTAGAGCTGAATGTCAACCAATGAATGGAATATAAAATATTTACTTTTACTATACACAACAAATGTATAAAATTTATAAGAATGCTATTTATGAAAATAATAAATAATAATAATTAATTTTAACCAAATACCACAATATGTGAAATTATTAATTACTAATTTATACCGAGATTATCATAGTAATATGAAAATTCATTGTTCAATAATAATTATATAAAATGTTGTTTTTTTAAAACTAATTAAAATTGTTATGCAACACTTTCATATTTGCARACAACTGAAAACACGTCGCCACCTAAACGTTTAGCCAACCAACGGTTTTTTATGATGGCCAATTTGAAACAATCACACACAAATTCAGCATCTATGTTTGTGTGTACAGCTCTACCCATTCCTTCCAATATAATCAAATCCACAGTAATCAATTCATTTGCCAATTCTCGTTCCAAACGACTAAAAATCAAAGAACAATCACTTTATACTTGAATAAATACATGATAATTSAGTTACCAATACAATTACTTAAGAGGATGTGATACTCGTATGTGTTGTCAACGTCTTACAAGTGCGTAACATAGCAAAAACTGTTTCGTGTGGAAAAGAACCGAGAAGTCTACAGCTATAACTAAGAAACCAAATTTCACCATGAAAAAAGGAGAATTTTAACAGTGTCACAATGTTTTAATTTTTTTTTTCAATAAGACTAATTATATCAAAAGTTATTAAAGTTTGAAAAATTTGAAAATATCAGATTTTTAAAAGTATTATAACTTTTTTATTATTAAAGATATCAAACAAATAGAAAGCTACGACACATAAAATATTATCTTCTGTATTGTATTAAAATTTGATGTTTCTACTAAGATTATAGACTGGAATGGTTCTATCACATGCTAAACAGTTTTTGCAATGCAGGTATTAAGTCATCTTAATTGCCTAAATAATATAGTATTACAAATAAAATCTTAAAAGAATGTCAGCGTAGGTATTATTTGTTTTCTCTCTCTTACCTACACACAACATAGCAAAAGTATGTCTTAGCAGAATCAACTCAGTGCTTTTACTTTTAATATTAGAGTTAATTCAACAACTATCAAATTTTAAGCTAAGAAT